TGTTGGTTCATTTTGCTCTGTGATGTGATGAGCTGTGCGCCATCCCCAGTGGTGTTGGTGTTGGTTTGTTTAGGCCGTGGGTGTTGGTTCATTTTCCAATGTGTTCTCCTTAAGCAGGAGTTTCCCCAACGCTTTCCCCCAACATTCTCCACAAAAATATGTTCCCTGATAAGCCAGATCTGCATCTTGAGCACCTCTTTTAAAGCCCCTACCTTGGAAACCTCCAATCCCTCAGCCTTACCCAGCACTACACCCTTCTTTCTTCCTCCCCTCTTCCCTTGTGGATAGAGAGATGAGGCACAAGGAGTCAGCCCACAGGTGCTGCTGCCTCGTCACCCACTAAACACATCAACTTTAATGAGCACAGAAGCACACACACGTTCCCTGTCACACACCTCTGCCAGGCGGTCACTTGTGGGGATAACAACGACTTTCCCTGTCTGAGATGTCTGCATCCAACAGAGACAGGGGCTGTGAGCCCTGTGTTTGTCACCTTCTCAGCAGTAAATGTGGGTTCTGCCCACTGGGATGCTGGGATGATTAAATGTGGCAATGTGTGAGAAAAGTTGTGAGAGCAGTTCTTGGTCCACAGTAATTATTTACATTTTACTTGCATACAATCAGGGAATATTTGTTTATAAACCCTCCTCCAGCATGGTCACTCCCTGTTAAAGTGCAGCAGCCCCTTAGGTGAGGGTTTGGTGCTGTGTGCGTGTTGGGGGGCAGTCACAGAACTGCTTTTGTTGTTGTTGTTGTTGGGGAAGATTCTCCCTGAGGTAACATCCGCTGCCAATCATCCTCTTTTTTCACGTGAGCCGCCACCACAGCACGGTCACTGACACACGAGTGGTGTAGGTCTGCGCCCGGAAACCGAACCTGGGTTGCCGAAGCGGAGCCCGCTGAACTTTAACCACTAGGCCATCAGGGCTGGCCTCAGAATTGCTTTTAAGAGTCGTGCCCAGGCCTGTGGGCTTTATCCCAAGGAGGGAGCCAGAAACTCTTTTTAGAGCTCCACAGGCAATTCTACCCTGAAATCAGAGCTGGGAACCACAGGCTCAGACTAGTGATCCTCAAAGATTCTGTTCACGGATTTATCCACATTCCAATTTAATCCAAGCTCTGATAGCCACGGTTTAGATGAAAGAGTGCAAATGGCTGCTCTGCCACCTGGTGCTGCCAGCTTCTCCTGAGGTGCAGCAGGGGGTGGGACAGGGGCTAGCGAGGGGCTGGAGAGGGCATCCCGGAGGGGAGGAGCCGCCCTATATAGGATGGGTCACATCAGTCTCACATTCTAGCTGGAATCAGAGTTGGAATTTGGCTATAGGAACCCATCAGAAAGTTCTGCAAATGATCACCCTACCCTTTCACCACAACCCCATGAGCTGGCCCAAGTCTGCTACCTGGATGTGGACCCCAACACTGGTCACAGACACCTTTTGTGACTTGGGAGGCTGTGCCCTGGCACTACTCCAGTGGGTAGTCCCCGGTGCCCTTCTCTGGGGTTCATCGATTCCTTGGGCCACTCGTGGGGCTTTTAAATGGCTTTGACAAGACAGAGGGGGTATCTCAAGGACAGACCTCTTTTATTTATGAGGGCCAAATTTCAGGAAGAAGAAACTGTCTTTGGCCCATAAGTTATATATATTTAAGGTGGTGGTTTTCTAGGAGGAGCATACCACTTTACTAAGCCTCACCATAGTAACTCTCAGGGCAGGCAAACCAGTTCTGAGAAATAATGGTAAAGTTTCTAGTTACTCAGACTCTGGAATACCCAGCAATTAAAAAAATATGTGTGTCTCAGATAACTCTGTTCCATTAACATGAAATCGTGGCAGTAGGACTTGAAATCTCAAGACTGTCTTACCATTATCAAAATCAGGGAGGCAGATGCATGTCTTAAGTCAAACTGCAAGGTTGATTGGAAATAACTTCAATTCCGAAAAGGAATGGATCTCATTAGCAGACATTTGTTAGTGAACGACAGCAGTAAGACTTCTCCATGTTTCAGCATAGTCTAAACACTTAGCTTGCACACAATTATATAGTTGGGCTTTGTTGTAATTGAAAGTACACAGAGGAGGGGTCTTCATCTGGGGGATGATCTGCTAACTCAGGGCTCAAGAGCATAAGAACACACACCTGGGCTGGGCGTCCCTGGACTTACCCCATCATCGCAGGCGGCAAACCGCAGGAGTGAAGCAATACTGCTCTGCAGCAGCTGTAATAACAGTGAGACGGGCCGGGTTAAATCCCACCACTGCCGTAACTGCTCGTGCTGCAACACCCACGTCCTGAAATTAACATGTTAAATCGAAACCACTGTCTTTTCTTTAGTAGCTTCAATCTCAAAGCCTTAAGTCAAATGTGACTTTTAAGTCACAGACATAGAAAGACTGTATTCCTGAGGGTGACTGCTTCCCCCTTTCCCAGAGAAGAGCAACAGATGCAGCTCTCTCCGGCCAGGGAGTCCGAGCGGCTCCATGAAGTGGACACGGGATGCATCCGAGCTCCTGCACCAGCCCTACCTTGACGCTCACTGTGCACTGGGGGCGCGAGGGGCAGTCCAGGAAGACCTGCAGGTGCCTTCTGAGAAGAGGAACGGTGACCACGCGGGAGCAGTCCCCACAGGAAAAGGTGCCTCTGTTGTTTGGAAATGCACAGGGAAGACAAGACCAAAAAGGCATACGTCAGAAGAGTCTAGCAGTAGACAAGCACTTTTCTAAACATGAATGTTTGCTGAGATAGAAAAGGGGTATTTACTTTCAGAAACCAAGTTCCTGAAATAGGCCGGAAGAAGCCCCAGGCTCAGCCTGTTCTGAGGGATAAATGTCAGCTTCTGGCTAATGGCTACGTGGGCATGTAATACCCAGAGGACGGAAGGGACACTTAGACAGAGAAGCCTCATTCAAGCTGAGCATAGAGGATGACAGCAAATATCCCACGAAGCAAGTGAAGGCCCTCTGCGAGGCAAAGGGAAGTCAGGGCCTCCCATCAACCTGAGTGGGAAAACCTACTTTTATTGTGTGTGTGAGGAAGATCTGCCCTGAGCTAACATCTGTTGCCAATCCTCCTCTTTTTGGTGAGGAAGATTGGCCCTGGGCTAACATCCGTGCCCATCTTCCTCTACTTTATGTGGGCCGCTACCACAGTACGGCTGATGAGTGGTATGTTAGTGCACGCCTAGGATCCGAACCTGCAAACCCTGGGCCGCTGCAGCGGAGTGCACGCACTTAACCACTACGCCACCGGGCTGGCCCCTGGGAAAACCTACTTTTAATCACCAGTATCTATGTTCCTTATTGCTACCATGTAAACTTGTGATTTGCATTCTTCTTGTCTCTTAAATATGATCCAGTGATGACTTGTTTATATAGAAAGCCAGCAACCCAGGAGAAGCAAAAGGCATCATTTGCTCTTTGCTTCTTAAGTAGCAGAAAAGCAATGAGCATGCCCCTTTCTGTCATGTGATAAAGTCAACTTGGGAGGCCAGAGAACTGACTCAGAGAACTGCATCAGGACCGGCCCTAGACCGGGCCCTAGGGAGGGCTGTATAACGCCGGGCAGGGAAGGGGTGTCTGTGGATGAAGCTGTGCTTTGGTGTCTGGATAAGTTTGCGCCCTCGCAAAGACAAGCTGTACAGTTACCAAGTTTGTCTTCCTTATTCCTGTTGGCCCTAAATTTTTCTTTTTTTGCTGGACCGATAATAAAGGAGCTGAGGACAAAACCTGGCTCTTTTCTCCTTTAAGAGGAGCTGCAAGAAAGAGCAAAAATCTCCCTTGCAAAGAAAGCAAACACACCGTGCACCACAGCCCCTTCCCTGCACTCAGCAGACTCGGTTTCCCACTTGGAGCTCATGCCTGGCCCCTGGCACTGCAGAAGCAGGTGACCTGAGAAAACAAGGCAGTGGGGACCCTGGAGCCAGGTGGCTGCTGCCCTGGGGTCTTTCAGCCCAGCCCCTGCCCCCTTACCTGTCTTCTGGGCTCTGTTTCAATCTCTCGTTGCCACACAGGTCACATGTAGGCCACGAGAAGGCAGTGCTCTCATCCACACCAACCACAGCGCCTGGGCCCAGGAGAAAGCACAGCCCGAGTCTCAGAGGGGGTTCCTACCTTCCCAACTTTTCTTTGCCCCTCAGGCCAGAGATGATAACACGAGATGCCTCAGAATCTTTTCTCACTTTGAGTTTATATAAATGTTCCTAGGTTTTTTATAATTTCCATTTATTGTACAAACAAAATTACAACAAAAAGTAAGTTTTAAAACTTGCCCACATTACTACCAGACCAAGTATTTCCATTTTTGCCCGATCTTTTCTAGTCTTTTTCCAGATGCATATATATTGAAATTGTTACAAGCAAAGCATCAGCGCAATGTCTCATTCTACCTTTTAGGTTGCTGTATAGCTGTTGTTTTGTTACTTGTAATGACTTCTGACAAAAGTGAAAGAAGGAAGTGCCAAAGCAGGCCTGCATCTGAACATCAAGACGACAGAAATCACGACTATAGAAAAACAACCCAACTTTAACCTAGACCATGAAGACATTGAAACTGTTAAAGATTTTGTTTACCTTGGTTGAGTCATCAATTTAAATGGAGACTGCAGACAAGAAATCAAGAGAAGACTGAGACTTGAAAGTGCAGAAATGAAAGAATTAGAAAAGATCCTCAAGTTAAGGAAGTGTCGTTACAGACTAAGGCCAGGACGATCCACACCCTGGTGTTCCCAATTACTATGTACTGGTGCGAAAGCTGGACAGTGAAGAAGGCGGACAGGCAAAAAATGGATTCATCTGAAATATGACACTGAAGGAGAGCTCTACGGGTACCCTGGGCTGCCAGAAAGATGAACAAGTGGGTCCCAAAGCAGATTAAGCCTGAACTATTGCTGGAGGCAAAAATGATAAAACTGAGGCTGTCCCACCTTGGGACATGAGAGGACATGTCCTTCATGAGAGGACAGGATTCTTTGGAAATAATAATGCTGGGAAAAGCAGGAGGTGGCAGGAAAAGAGGAAGACCAAGTATGAGATGGATTGACTCCACAAAGGTAGCCAAAGGCATGAGTCTACAGGAGCTGAGTAGGGCTGTTGAGGACAGGACACTGTGGACATCACTCATTCATAGGGTTGCCAGGAGTCAGAGCCAAACGTGACAGCACGTAACAACGATAGCTGTTGTAAGGATTGTTTTACATATCTTATTGATATTCCATTTAGGTGATGTGTCACAGTTCCCTTAGCCATTCTCCATATCAGACATTTAGGTCTCCAAATTACTTTAGTGGTAAGGCAGTGGGTAACTTTGTACATAGGCCTTTTCTGTACTGGGATCCATTCCTTAGGCTAGATTCCTGGACGTAGAATTACTGTGTCAAAGACTATGAGCATTAGAGATGCAGAAACACCCCTTTAGAAGGTGTTTCCCACAAGGACTTTCTGATTCACACTGTCACCATCCATTCACAGGGTGCTAGTTTCACTGCCCTGCATGCTGACATCACCTTAAGTATTTGCCTCCTTAACAGGTATAATGGAATTACTTATTTTAGTTTCTACTTCTTTGACAAGGAAAGATAAATACACTTATAGGTTAGTTAATATCTCCTCTCATGTGATTCCTATAGTTTCCTTATTTTTTTTTTACTGTAACATTTGTGATTTACTTATTCAACAAACAAATGTGTATACAATGCTATTTAGTGTGGGATATATGTGTAGCATTAAAAACATAAAGATGGATGCTACAATCCCTACTCCCATGGACTCCACAGTCTCATTGGGAAGGCAGATAAACAAAGACTGAGTGAAAAGACCATGAAATATGGGATAAAATATTTGCAAAAGAGATATCCGATAAAGGACTGTTATCCAAAATATGCAAAGAACTCTTAAAACTCGACAATAAGAAAATAAACAACTGAATTAAAAAATGGGCCAGAGACCTTAACAGACACCTCACCAAATGAGATATACAGATGGCAAATAAGCATATAAAAAGATGTGCCACATCATATGTCATCAGGGAAATGCAAATTAAAACAACGAGATACCACTACATACCTATTAGAATGATCAAAACCAAACACTGACAACACCTAATGCTGGTGAGGATGTGGAGCAACAGGAGCTCTCATTCATTGCTGATGGGAATGGTACAGCCACTTTGGAAGACAGTTTGGCAATTTCTTACAAAGCTAAACATAGTTTTACCATACAACAGTTTACCATACAAGTCGCACTCCTTCAACCCAAAGGAGTTGAAAACTTATGTCCATAAAAAAACCTGCACATAGATGTTTACAGCAGCTTTATTCACAATTGCTATAACTTGGAAGCAACCAAGATGCCCTTCAGTAAGTGAATGGATAAACAAACTGTGGTATATCCAGACAATGGAATATTATTCAGCACTAAAAATAATTGAGATATCAAGTCATGAAAAGACATGGAGAAAACTTAAATGCGTATTACTAAGTGCCAGTTTGAAAAAGCTATATAATGCATGATTCCAACTATATGACATTCTAGAAAAAGCAAAACTATACAGACAGTAAAAAGATCAGTAGTTGCTAAGTGTTAAAAGGGAGGGAGGGATGGATAGGCAGAGTATGGAGGATTTTTAGGGCAGTGAAACTACTCTGTATGATACCATAATGATGGATACATTTCTCTAAACCCATAGAAAGTACAACACCAAGAATGAACTCTAATGTAAACTATGGACTTTGGGCAATAATGATGTGTCAAAGCAGGTTCATCTGTTGTAACAAATGTACCATCTGGTGGGGGATGTTGATAATGGCGGAGGCTGTGCAAGTGTAGGGGCAAGAGATGTATGAGAAACTGCTGTACGTTCTGCTCAATTTTCCTGTAAACCTAAAACTGCTCTAAAAAATAGTCTATTTTAAAAAAATACCATGAAATAAATGCTAAATTGAGAAATGGAAAAGACCCCTCACAAGTGCAGAAGAGAAGCCTTCCAGGGCTTGAGGATCAGGGCAGGCTTCCTAAAAGAAGGGACATGAGGTGTGGTTGCAGGTGGGGAGGGGGGCACAGGCTGACCCTGCACCTCACGGTGGGGCTGGAGGCCAGGCAGGCATAAAGGCCGGGCAGGTGAAAGGGGTATGAAGTTGGCAGACCACAATCATCTAGGGTCTTGCTGGGGATTTTAGACTTGATCTTGGAAGGGATGAGAAGCCAGGGAGAAATTTTAAACAGGGGATTGAGATGGTCTGATTTTCTTGGAATGTGAAGTAATATAGATATCATCTAGATACACTGGCAAATCACAGACCACCCTTATTGAAAAGTGGTGAAATTAGACATTTGAAAATTGAGAATTTCATTCCCCACAAGAACAATTAGGAGAAAATTTATCTGTAGAGGGTAAGCTCACCATTTTTGAGGATTTGGAAAAAAATTAGGGTGCAGTTCAGGCAATGAAAGAAAAATAAAGGTCAATACAAAACTACATGAAAAAAATCACACAAGCAAGGAAATAGGAATGTGGTATACTATTTTCCTTTTCAGTGAAAAATCTTTATATAATCATGATAATAAAAACACCATTTATTGATTTTCATCTTGAAGAATCAAGCTGTAGACAAAGTGTGCAAGGTTGAATTATGGTTATGAAACAGAATATTATCAATTTTAACAATATAAAGTATAGAAACAACTGTAGGAAGGTGGAAAGGAAGAGTACAGTAAAAGAAGGGCACGAGAACTAATATTCTCTTCTTTTAAAGTGTGAAATAAAGATACTATCTTTAGCAGGGTGAACAACAAACAAACAAATAAACAAAACCCCTGCAGCCAATATCATACTGAATGGTGAGAAAGTAGATGCTTTCCTTTTGAGAGTAGGAACAGAGCAAGGAGTTCCCTCTCACCACTGCTATTCAACATGGTACTGGAAGTCCTAACTAATGCAATAAGACAAGAAAAGGAAATAAAAGGTATACAAATGGGGGAGGAAGAAAAAAGCTTTCCTTGTTTACAGATAACATAGTTTTCTACATAGAATATCCCAAAGAATTAACAAAAAAACGACTAGAACTACAAAATGATTATAGCAAGGTTATAGGATACGAGGTTAAAAAACAAAAGTCAATTGCTTTCTTACACACTAGCAATAAACAAATGGAATTTGCAATTAAAACATAACACCATTTACATTAGCACTAAAATACATTAAATACTTAGGTATACAAGTAACAAAATATGTACAATTTCTATATGAAGGAAACTACAAAACTGCTGAAAGAAATCAAAGCTCTAAATAAACAGAGAGATATTCCGTGTTTATGGATAGGAAGACTCAATAGTGTTAAGATGTAAATTTTTTCCAAGTTGATCTACAGATTCAATACAATTCCAATCAAAATTCCAGCAAGTTATTTTGTGGATATCAGCAAACTGATTTTAAAGTTTATATGGAAAGCAAAAAGACCTAGAATAGCCAAGACAATATTGAAGAAAAACAAAGTTGGAGAACTGACACTACCCGACTTCAAGACATTCAATAGAGCTACCAATATCAAGACAGCATCGTATTGGTGAAAGGACAAATAAAGCAGTGGAACAGAACAGAGAGGCCAGAAATAGACTCACATAAATACAGTCAACTGCTCTTTGACAAAGGAATAAAGACATTTCAATGTGAGAGAAGATAGTCTTTTCAACAATGTTGGAACAACTGGATATCCATATGCAAAAAAATGAATCTAGAAAGAGCCCTTACACCTTTCACAAAAATTAACTCAAAATGGAGCACAGACTTAAATGTAAAATGCAAAATTATAAAACTACTAGAAGAAAAGAGGAGAAAATCTGGGTGACCTGGTTTTGACAATGAATTTTTAGATACCACACCAAAAGCACAAGTCATGAAAGAAAAAACTGATGTGGGACTTCATTAAAATTAAAACTTCTAGTCTGCAAAAGACACTGTTAAAAGAATGAAAAGACAAGCCACAGACTGGATGAAAATATCCACAAAAGACATATCTGATAAAGGACTATTATCCAAAATATACAAAGAACTCTTAAAACTTGACAAGA